TGTTGCTTCTGCATTGCATTATCTTCACCATGAATGTGAGCAATCGATCATTCATTGTGATTTAAAGCCAAGCAATGTCCTTCTTGATGGTGACATGATTCCTCATGTGGGTGATTTTGGCAACACCATAAGTTGATGTAGTGACCACAATGTTTCGCATGAACTTTCAATCAATCTCATTATTAAAGGAATTTGACATTTCTGAGTCCAAGCCTTGCGTGAAATCATATTGCTGATGCAATGTTTAAATATTAAGAGAAAATAAAATACTAGTTTTCAATATATCCAAAAGGGGTAGTAGTTGGAAGTTGTAAAAGCAGCAAATGAATTAGTAACAAGTTTTCTCAGTTGTATGTTGCAGTACAAAAGCTACCCAAACTTATTAGTTGTGTTCCACCCTAAACTTGCAAATCAGAAGATAAGCATCTTGATTCAGGGATCTCAAAAAATGTGGTAAATAATATTTTTCCATTTAGAAATGTGGCATCTTGATTCAGTTTTTTTAATATTCTAAATTTAGTTGCGGAAGAGTTGATTAATTTGTAAAAATTTTAAGTTTAAATTTTCTTGTTGCCAAAAGTAGGACGAGTTTATTGGATAAAAGTTAAAATTAAAAAATATTATCGAAACATTTTTTTTTAATAAATTTCAGCTCATTTATAATGTGATTTTTAATAATAAAAAAGTGTTGTTAATTCTTTAACAAACTTTCTTGCTGCATTAGTGTTTAATGATTGTATAATCCTTTCCCTAATTGGATTTGTATAATTCATAATTGATGTTCTTAACTGTCTAAACCATTCATCTAGGTCTATATTGTTTAGTAGGAAGCAAGAAATTTAGTCTCATGTGCCAAGAAAAGAAAAACCATAACTATAAAAAAAAAAAATATACTTAGTATTTTCTAATTAGAAAGAACTTTCACAAATTTTTATTATGTGTGTTTTTAAAATATTATTTAAAATGTTTTTCTTTCTTGTTTAAAGCACTATCTAAGACAAAAAAACAAAATAAAACGATATATTATAAACAGAAAGATAAAAAAAATCATCAGATAATAAAATTCAATAATTTATCAAGATAAAAATATATTTAATTGTAAAACTCTAAAAACTTATTAAATACAAAAAGTACTATAGAAAATAACTTGAACGGGTAAATAATTTTAAATAATTATACGTAAAGATTTCAGTGTCATGAAAAAATTATTAAAAGTATTTTTGTAACTCTCTTTTATAAAATTTTAATATTTTATAATGTAGTATTTTTTAATATATAAAACTAAATTATAATATATCTGGATAATTTAAATATTTTATTTTCTATATATATATATATATATATAATAAAAGATTCATTTATTTATTTTATAATAAAATATTTAAAAATTATTATTATTAAAAAACAATAAGATTGTTTATCTCTTTGAAAAAATAAAATCAAACTTATAGTTAAATAAAAAATATTATATAGTGGATAGGGTTAAAAAATTATAACATAATTTTGATACATGAAAAAGAATGAGACACATTTGTATTCATTTATAATTTAACTAATTTTTATCGTGTAGTAATTTTTTTTATATTTTTTTATTTTTGTATTGGTTCTATTTTTTTAATTAATTTATCTTTAATTATGTACTCATATTTTTTATTTAGTTATATACTAAATTTATTTATTTATTTATTTAACTATTTAATTATATATTAATACTCTTTATTTATTTATATTTATATCATTTAATATTTTATTTTGATATTTAAATGAGTAAATATTATTAAATAATAAATAATTTTAGACTCTTTTATCCTAGCTAATTATTATAAAATTAATTCAAATATTTAATATAAAATAAAATAAAATATTTTAAAGATATTGAAATAATAATCTATATATTATTTTAATATGATATTATTTTATATAATATTTATTCTTTTTTTCTTATTTTATCTGTCATTTATAATATAATTAAAAATATCAACTTAAATAAATCAAAATCAAATTATCTAAATCCTTTATAATAATTATAGTAATATTTTATAAACTAATTAAAATACAAATATTATTAATAATTTAGTCATTTTTAGAATTATATTAATGTAAATTTTAATATTTGTTATTAGCATATGTATAATTAAATAATAATATAAAAAAATTATATGTCTCACTGTTATATATTAATTTTAGATAAATATTGATGATCAAAATTTATTTTAATTATTTTTTTTAATTTAATTTATAATGAATTGTGATTAAAAAGAATTAACGTAATCACGTGAATTTTGTAGTTAACTATTCAAAATAAATATAAAATTATAAAGTTAATGATTAAATTTATTAAAATAGAAAAGTAAAAAAATAGATATTTAATTAAAATTTATTATTATTAATTATTTTTTAATAATATTATTTTATTTTATTTTAATTTTTATAAATTAAAGTTTTATAAAAATAATATCAACAAACAATGTTCAATTTCAGTACCAATTTATTTTTAATTATTATGTAAGCCGAATTCACAAATCCATATTTATGAAAAAGAGTCAAGTTCCTCAACGGTTATTCCGGTATCGTACTTTTTTTTTTTTTTTTACTTAAATACAAGTGGATAATCACATTGTGATTCTTAACAAAAATCGATAATTTATGTCTAACTTATCATATGTCACTGGAACAAACTTTTATAACATTGTTGAAAATTTAAATAAAATTTATATTTATTTAAATAATTAGCAAATAATAATAATAAATTAATTTTATTTTTAAATATAATAGTTTGATATATATATATATATATATATATAAATTAAATATTATAATTATTTTATAAAAAAAATATTTTTAACCTTAGGTATTAATCCCGTGTAAATCTATTTAGTCCACAAACTACATCAATGGAGTGAAAAACAACTTAATTTAATTTAAACCTTGAAACCTGTACATAAAACGTATCGATGTTGACGACTAAAAACAGTGACCCGAATGGAAGTGAAAATTGATAGGAAAAAGTGACGGAAGCAACTTGCGTGACATTCAGGGTTCTCTCTGCCACCACCAATCGCTTCCTTCATAAGTCTCTGTCCCTCCCTCCGCGCGTATATTCAGATATACTTACAAATTTAAGATAGATAATATATAAGATTTTTTTTTAATCTTTTTTTTTTAAGAACAGTTAAAGATATTTACTATAAATAAATGAAATTGAAAAATTTTAATATCATATTAAGTTTTATTTAAAGATCAATAAATATATAAATTATACTTTTAAAAAATTAAGATAAGCAAATATGAATTTGATACAATGTTTTTAATAATAACAATAATATTACTTATTATTAAAAATACCTATTAATTGAGTTTACGTTGTAAACTCATTTGTAAATATGTGAATATTTAAATTAAAAAAAAAAAAAGGCTTAAGCTCCATTAATATAGCTACCTACCCCCACTACCTCAAAAAGGAAAATACCTAATACGACCAAAGGAACATGCCCTTCATTTGTATGAAAAAAAATAATAACAAAGTTTAACGAATAATGCAATCACAATATCTTATATGTTTATATAATTTATATTAAAATAACATATTTATTGATAAAAATATATTTGTAAGAAATTCTCATTAAAATATTCTTAGTAAATATTAATGCCTAGACGTGTAAATACTTTATAACCAACTTTATATAAATCTCCAAAATGGATGTTGCACCCGAAACTGCTACCATAAAACTTAGTAGCTATCATAATTATTAAATTTAGATAGAATGCATATACCAGCATGCATAAATAGAATATATATAAGATTTTCTTATGAATTATTTAACTTATGTCCTAGAATGAAAAATAATGGTTTCATAATTAGTCCTTGCTGCTTTATTCTTATATTACTTATTGTTAAATTTATGCTTAAAAAATGATAATAGTTGTAGTAACAACAATAGTAAATGTGCTGTGTATGTGATAAATGGCAAGCGTGATATAATAATATTTTTGGTAATAATTAAAGTGGTAAAATGCACAACCTATTTTGATTTGTAAATTATAGAACTTAAAAAAAAATACTTGGTAAAAAAAAATTATATTTTTGTTCATACTTTCAAACTCTAAAATTATTTATGTCAAATTAAAAATCCAATTTTAAAGTAAACTTTATATTAAATCAATAAAATTGAGTTATTTAATCTCTTTTATATTTTTCTATTATAATAATTATGTTATGATTGATTATTTCATAATATAGTAATGTTGATAATAATATACGGAATAACAATTATCATTGATTCATTGATAATAAAAATATAGTTCATAAGACAAAATTGTGAGTAGATTATTCTTATAAAGTAATAATTTTTTTATTAAATATTGGATTTTATGGTTATTAATAAAAAATAAAATTATTAAAACAATAAATAAATTTATCTTATTTTTTTATTTTCTACACTTTATTTTTTTAAATTCAAGTAACCTTATTTTTCAATTTTTTTCTTTCTCTTTGGTTCCTCGTATTTACTGTTCGATCTAAACAAATCAATGACATAATGTGTCTTTATCACGATTCAAACCTCTTAAGAAAAGAGAAATCCAAACAAACAGAAACAAGGATTCATCACCGCACGTATATTCAATCCTGAAAATTAATTAAGAATTTCATTATATAATAATTTACAGTCACAAAAGTAATGTTGATGTAGTTATTATTTTTTCTCCAAACCTCTTTAGGCTCAATAGTTTTATTATTATAACTACTATTAATTTTGTTTATGTTAATGTTTTTGGTGGTGGTGGTGGCAGTAATTGGACAGCAAAGCAGTTGGAAAGATGGGACATGTTTTAATGAAGGAAAAAGGTGAAACCGGCACTGTCTCTTACTTTATCTTTTTATTTCAAATCCAACATTACTTTAACTGTCTTCCTCACCAAAACCAACACCAACCAAACCATAAGAACCCCACTTTCTATCATACCCTTCGTTTCTCTTTCTTTTCTTCTCTTCTCTTCCCATGGACGTATTCGTGGTGGAGATTCCCAACGCACCCCAACACCACCCTCACTTTCAGTCTGAATCTTCGTCCACCAACACCAAACGCAAAAAACAACATCAACGACAACATGTTCTCATCCCAGGTCTACCCGACCACATAGCCCAATCGTGTCTTTCCTCTGTCGACCCTTCTCTTTTGTTCTCAATTTCTCACACATGGCGTCGTCTAATATACTCTCCTTCTTTTCCTCCGTTCTTCTCTCTCTATGCGATTCTCTCAGCCCCCAAATCCCACACCTACATCGAATTCCACACCTTCGACCCCATCTCCCACACGTGGCGCCTCCTTCCACCGCACCCGCCCCTCCACCATCTCCTCCTCCGCCACCCCTCCTTCCTCTCCCGCAGCCTCTCCGTCCAGTCCGTCTCGGCCGCCGACCGCCTCATTCTCGTCGCCGCCACCACACATAACCTCTCTCCCGCCCTCCCCCGCCCGCTCATCTTCCACCCCCTCTCCGGCACCTGGTCCTTCGGCCCCACGCTCGCCACGCCGCGCCGATGGTGCGCCCTCGGCGCCCTAGGCCCCACCGTCTACGTCGCCAGCGGCATCGGCGCCCACTTCTCTATCCACGTCGCCCGCTCCCTCGAAAAATGGGACGTCCGAAACCCTAACCCCGGCGTCTGGGAGAAGAAGACCTACCTCAAGGACGGCCGCTTCAGCAGAGAGGCCATCGACGCCGTCGGATGGCGGCAAAAGCTTTGCATGGTCAACGTCAAAGGGGATGCAGCCAAGGAAGGCGCCGTGTACGACGTGGTGGAGGACGCGTGGAAGGACATGCCGGAGGGGATGCTCTACGGCTGGAGAGGACCCGTCGCCGCCATGGAAGAAGAAATCATGTACGTCGTCGACGAAGCAAAGGGTGTGCTTAGAAGATACATAGCCGAAGAAGACTCTTGGGAAGAGATTCTCGAGAATGAGAGACTCAAAGGCGCTGAACAACTCGTCGCGCAAAGAGGAAAACTTTGTGTCGTTTCGGCTTCCGGGATCTCCGTTGTGGATGTCGCCGTGGCGCCGCCTCGGATCATACCGATTCTACTGCCGGAAGGGTTAGAGCCGGTGGCGGTTCACGTCTTGCCGCGGATGCCAGTCGGTCACTGATAGAGACTATTTTTTTAACGCCTGTGACTTGGAAAACTGTATCTTTCTCAATAGATTCAAAATCGTGACTTTACATGTTCAAGAAACGTGAATCTGGTGCTATTCAGACCCACCACGCGTTGCTGATTTTAGTTCTTTTTTGTTTGTTTGTTATTCTTTGGTAAGAAAGTAAAGAATGAAATTGAATGAGAGGAAAGAGGGCATGTTTTGCTATTTTTGTGAAATAAAAATGTTTTATTGTTTGTGTACTTTGAATGAAGAGATGGGTTTGATTTACTTAGGTTGCGTTTGAGGATCGAGGGTCGTGGTCGGTAGTTGAGAGGTTAAAGGGAAAATTTGTCCGTTATGGTGATGGGTGGGAGCACGGTTGAATTAAGGGTTGGGTTAGATTTTGTTTAGTTGAGTTTTGGTGGAAAGAGTGGGAATTGTTGACTGGGCAATGCAGTGTGGAGATGAGTGGTGGATAGGAAAGGAGGGATGATAATTTATTCTTATATGACGAATAGTGGAGTGATGGAAGAAGGTTTTAAAGCAGATCATGATGCAATGAATTTCCTACTTTTTCACTTTCAACTCTTCGTTTTTCAAGGTCTTGCTTGTACGGTCATAAACACTTCATTTACTTTAAACATTCACCTAACAGTAATGGGACCATTCATCAAACATGTTACCTGCATATGTTTATGCATACTCTAAGAGGAGATTCACTTGTATCGTTTTATTAGTTTTTTTTTTTTATGTATATGAAGCTTTTCATTCATTTAATAAGTATCTCTTTAACTTAAAATAAAATAGATATATATTTTTAATAATTAAGTATTCTCCGTAATAGTTGCTTCATTTTAAGAATCAATTTGAGCAAATTTTTGAGGTTGTTTCTTAGTGCAAGCCAACCAAGTTAGTGTAAGAGTTTTTGGATAGCTAGTGTGAAGTATAAGATTTAATTTCGTTATACACACAAACAAATATACAAAATAATAAATGAAATAGGATAGCAATATAAATTGTTATTGTCAACGATTGGGACTTCGAGTACTTATTATTTTTTAATCAATTAAAATGTCTCTTGAACTTAATCCCAAATATCTTTTATAATAATAATAATTTATATGAGTTATTTTTTTTAAAAATTGAAAAATAAAGATTTATAATATTATAGTATTTTTAAGTAACTCATTATTATTTTACTTTTATTTTTTGATTTATTTGTTTTTGTTTTTATAAATTGTTTGATGAAGGAATAAAAAAATTATAAAAATTTATCATACTACATCATATTTCTCTAATAGAATATTATTTTAAGTAATTAATATTTTATTTGAGTATTTTAACAAACAATTCTCCTTAAAAATGCTTTACAACTTTTTTTAATGGATTAATATATTATAAATTTGGATTGGTTGACTTCGACTTTGAACTTTGTCCTTATTTCACAAGATTTAAATACTTTTTTTAAGTCATTTCATTGATCAAGATAAAATCATTCACTTAAATAAACGTAAATAAAATAAAATAACAATGAATAAAAAATATTATTATTGAATAAAAAAATAGATGATATAAATATTTTAAATTATACTACGATGATTTTTTTATTGAGTGATTAATTTAAAACCTTTTACATGCATATTATAAGTCTGTCAAATCTTTAAATAATTATTATATTAAAAAAAACTCAATTATTGAACAGATGAAATAGGACAAAAGTTGCCTTTTGGATATTTTATTCATTGGAAGTTGAATTGCATTTTGCACCTCTAAAATGTATGATTTTTGAATTGGGTTTTTCAGTTATACTCCTGTGTTCATCTCTTTCAAAATAAAGGATATTTTTTTGATAGTTTGGGATGAAGTTTGGTATCCACCAATAGATAAACTCTAAGAGCCAATTGGGATCAAAATCGTGTAAGACATTGGTCATTATTATATGGCAAATCAATTTTTGATGGAAGAATGGATTAATTTTAGGGTTTTTTTTTTGTCAAAATTGACTTTTAAAATATTTGAGACGAATTAACATTTCAACAAAGCCAAACTCCAGAAAACGACTTTTGAATATTTTATATTTGAGTAAAACTTCAATATATTGAATATTTTCTAAGAAAATCCAAAATATTTTACATTTTATATAATACTAACTACAAAGAAATAAGTGAAATATATAAGCACTTATTATCTTAAAATGCCAAATTATTTAATGTTTTCATCCAGTATATATAAGGAAATTATTAAGCAAATATATATAAATATTTTAAAATATTATACATACTTATAGTTCAATTTTAGTACCTTTGAAAAATTAGTAATTTAGGGGCTGCCCCTATAATGTAAGGCCGTACCTGTTTATTTTGACTACAACATAAATTTATGTAATTCAAAATTTGAAAAAAATAAAACTTAATAAATTATTTGATTTTTCAAGTTCGGCTATGTTGAAAGTTGTCTCACGAAGGAAAAGTGGTTTGAGGATTTTTTTTTTTAACAATAGTGGTTTGGGATTTTTAAGAGTTGAAAATGATATATTTGACTTTGTTCTTTGACGAATTAAAAGCTAGTTTAAATATAAAGTTGAATAAACTTTTTTTTAATGGAAGTTTGATAATTTTGATTTAAAATCTATTGCGAAACTGAAGTTTTATTTCATTGTTTACAAATTTTATGGTATATTTGATTTAAGAATGAAAAAAAAATCTAATATACATTTGGTAGAAAATATCATAAAAAAAAAATTGTTATGAAACAGTATTTTCACTAAATTTCACACCTTATAATTTGAATTCGATAACCAATCTAATTTGATTTATTCCAACACAGATAAATTAGTTTTTTCTTTCTATTGAATCAAATATAATACAATGTGATCTAATTTCGATGGTCGGAAAATAAAATTAAAAGAAAAAAAAATAGAATAAAAATGTTCTTATAGAATGAAATAAAAATAATTTTTTTTTTGTTTTTTAAAATGATAAATAAAAATGAAGTAAATATATAGTTACACATAAATACGTGATTTAGGTTTGTTTAATTTAATTCTAAAAACTAGCTAGCTAGGGATGACAATTAAACTCGTCCCGTGGAGGACCGACCCGTCCCCGTCTCGAGTTTGACGGGAAAAATCGAGTTGACCGGGGCGGGGGTGGGTTCGGGTTTTCCCGCTTTAAAAAGTCGGGGAAGGAGGCGGGGACGGGAGCGGGGCGGGGATGGGTAATGCAATCCCCACCCCGACCCATCCCCGTCCCTGCCCCGACTTTATATTTAAATTTAAATTTTAAAATATTAATATTTTAAAAGTATTTTATTTTCTTTTTCTATTACATATAAGGTCATTTTTTTATATTTTAACAATTTTTATTTTTCTTCTACCTATTTTTTATTTTTTTGTCTTTTTTAATATTTTATATCAATTAATTTATTATATTATTCTCTCTTATACCTTGTAGTTTTTCATATTTTCTTAATCTCTCTCATCAATTTGTTTTTTTTTCAATCTTTTCAATCAATTTGATGAACAAAGTTAATTTTTTTATTCTTTATCTTTTTTTAAATATTTTACATAAATCTTAATAGTAACTAATATTATTTTATTTATAATTTATATTTATTAGGTTTTATTATGTCATTTGTTTATCTTATTATTCTTATTTATCATATATCAAATTTTATCTTAATAAAATAATTGTATTTTAAAGGATTAAAAAAATTCATAATTTAAACTTTTATTACTTTGAATTAATTGAATAATAATTAACTTATTAAATATTTCATTATAAACTATATATTTCATATTTTTAAATTACAACTTAAAAATGAATTAACTTATATATATATATATATATATATATATATATATATATATATATAATCAAATGTTTGAATATAATATTATAATAATAATGATAATGGTATAAGTATTCAAATATTTGAATACAGTATAATAATAATAATAATATTATAAATAAAAAATGATTAAATATTTCTTTTACATACATAATTTAATATAAATATAATAAATTAAAATGTATATTTAATTAATAATTATTATAAATTATAAATATTTATTTATATATAAAAAATAGATAGTAAAATTAATTTATTATAAATGTAATTATCTTTTTAAAAATAATATAGATCGGGGACGGGACGGGGACGGGAACCGAAACCCAGCCCCGACGGGGATCAAGGGCGGGGACGGGGATAATTAAAAAAGTCGGAGGCGGGGATCGGGGAGGCAAAACCTGCCCCCGCCCCGCCCTGTTGCCATGCCTACTTTAGGGATGCCAAAACGGGTCAGCTCGCCCCGTTTTGGCCGGTCCTATCTTTGGCCCGCCAAAAGCAGGGCGCCGCGCGGCCGACCCGTTATAGTCATGACGGACTGTAGACCTTGACCCATCCCGCCAAGGAGCGGGTTGGCAGGCTGACCCGCCATAATTTAAAAAAAAATATTTTATTTTTAAAATAAAAAATTTTAATAAATTTAATAATAAGATTATTATTTGTTTGTCAATAATTCAATTTAATAATATAAATCAATACATTGGTTTAAGAAATTATAATTTAGAACAATAATAAAATTTATATAATAATAAATAATAACAAATATATGTATATATATATATATAAATAACGTTAAAACTTATAAAATTTATATTTTTTATATTGAAAAATTCAAATACATATATCTTTTTTATTTGATAAAACTTCACATTATTCTTGGTTGAATAATTCTTACACCTCTAATTCAAGTCATAAGGATAAAAATAATCGATACTTAGGATGAACAAGGAGAACAGGAGAGAGAAAATTATGTTTAAGTAAGGAGAATATTTTGTGTAAGAGTAAAATTTTTTTTAATTCTCTTTTTAAACTTTTTAACTTTATATATTATCTTTATAATTAACTTTATTACAATAAAAAATTATTTTTTATTAGGCGGGCTGCGGCTGGCCCGCGCTCATCCCTCGGCTTGGCGAGGCGGGCAAAGCGGACTGGTGGGCTAAAAC